ATACCCTGCCATGAAATGTACGTTGTTATCAGTACAATTAAACTTATTATCAAACATCGTCAGATTGATGCGATACCAGTACCTTCGTAAGTATCCAAATACTCCTGATTCCCCTAAATCATTTTCTGTATGCTTCTTATTTGTGTAAAATTTGCTGTACATTATAAGAACATTGCCATAGAAACCATTATTAAAAATCCATTTGAAAATGATTTCCCGCCCTTTTTTATTTCATAAGATACGTATAGAAGCATTAAGTGTAGTCAATAGCCCATATATTTAGCATAGCCCAACAATATAAACAGAACGTCATTGTACATACAGATTAAGAAACGAGTTGAAAGTGTATAAATGTAGTTAACGAAAATTACCACATCACTCTGTGAAACATCTAAAATGTTCTCGAGTTTTGCTACACATATTATAATATTTATACTCTTTTGCAAAGTAAAACGTTTTATACGTTTTCCATGGTATAAAGTTTTTGAAGATCAACACAGCTAATCAATAAGTATAATACTGTAAATAGTCCTCTAATTTATGTTTCAATATAGTTACCGAACAGGGAAAGGCGTCGAGTCTTTTGAAATGAAAACTGTTCAAGACATCTTGTAGATAATGTCTTAAACAACAGCCATCTAGCGAAGGTAGAGCAAGTATTGTCATCTAAAATGTAAGGCTGGAAATGTCGACATTTTCTTATGTATGATGTCTTATTCAGATACTAAATTTCTTATCTAAAATTATGTTGTCTGATTTAAGTACAATATTTCCTGTGCTTAATGTGTTATTCAGATATCTTATTTCTTGTGTGCAATGTTTGGTTTAAGCACCAGATTTCTTGTGTACAATGTTAGGTTAAGATACCAGATTTCTTGTGTTTAATGTTTGGTTCAAATACCAGATTTCTTGTGTACAGTGTTTGGTTCAGACACCAGATATCTTGTGTACAGTGTTTGGTTAAGACACCAGATTTCTTGTGTACAGTGTTTGGGTAAGACACCAGATTTCTTGTGTACAAGGTTTGGTTAAGATACCAGATTTCTTGTGTACAATGTTTGGTTCAAATACCAGATTTCTTGTGTACAATGTTTGGTTCAGATATCAGATTTCTAGTGTACAATGTTTGGTTCAGATACCAGATTTCTTGTGTACAATGTTTGGTTCAGATATCAGATTTCTAGTGTACAATGTTTGGTTAAGATACAAGATTTCTTGTGTACAATGTTTGGTTTAGATATCAGATTTCTTGTGTTCAATGTTTGATTAAGATACAAGATTTCTTGCTCCATATGCGGAGCCCATCTTATTACAAAATAACATCATGTTGGACGTGGAAATGTATTCCGAGAAATTTTCTGACTTTATACTGTTTTACGAACACAAAGATTATATACCTCTGTGTCCCATGCCAAACTTTGCACATGTGTTATGAATATGGGTAAGTGTTGTAGTCACATTGTGGGTATAATTGTGGGTATAACTTAACAACCATAGTGGTCCCATACGTCTTCTTCCCCAGGAGGTAAATATGGGTCTCTGTTACGTATTCTTTAGTTCAGAATAGAAAATAATTGTATTCAAATGTTGTCAATTTTATTCGAAACCTTTAAATTTCAGTAATTATTTATCAATGATAATTGTTTTCGTTTCTTTAAGGTGTTATACTTAGATTGAGTTCATACCCTATAGTGCACCCCTATTACTAATTATGCAATTATCTCTTTATGTATATTAATTATGTTATATCAGCATATGTCAAGGATAACAACATACCGTGAAACCTCGGGAACGTTTCAGAATGTGTATATTTAACCGTCAAAATGTAGCTCCATATCAAACACATAAGCTTCGTACCTGTTTTCCTTTTTGTGATCATCTTTGCTGCATTTCACACAATCTGCAATAAGAAAATATAAATTATCATTTTAAAATATTTTTTTTTATTTGTCATTGTCAGAGTTTATGAACAACAACAGCAAAGTTGACATTCATGAAGTCAATCCAAATAAAAAGGGTAGCAAAGTTAATTACAATCAATCGTTGGAACTAAAATATTTGATAATTTATAAAGAAAGGATGCACGTGGACAACCACGTTAACCTGTACATGAGGTCAGGGATAATATATAATGAAGGTCAGCTTATATAAGGAGATAAACAGAGCTGCACCGTTAACGGTCGCTCACCGAATGTTTAAAGATTATCGCATAATCCTTCAATAGTGAGGATTACGACGGATTTCAATTAATTGCACCTGTGAACTTTTTTTAATTGGCCTTTTAACATGTTATAACATGAATTGTTCGAAATGATACGTAGCCATAGACAATGGGTATATAAGACACGAAAATGGAGCAAATATTGAAAATATATTTGAATCTGTTCTGCTTGTACATGCCTTTTTATACTTTGGGAGCTTTCCTAGTTTCACATCTATATTGCGACAATTTTTACAATGGATAGAATTTGTAAAATGAGATACGTTTGTTATGATATTGATTTGTCGACATTTTAGGGTAATGTTTGACAGTTTTACTTATTCGATATATTGTGTTCTACTTAATCTGATGACGATATAGTCAGGTTACAAAGGAACTTGAAATAAAGTTTTTAACCCCGTGAGTATAGGCTCGCGTATACCCTTTACCGGTCTCTCATGCAAGATCTCAGGGTTCTTTACCTGTCATATTTGATTGCTTCTTAAAGATTAATTTTGATCGTTTTGAACGTTGATTTTTGTATTTGATTTTCATGTCTAATAAAACAAATATCATTTTATCCTCTTCTTTTATATATTTATTTAAAGTCACATTTTGGCATTTTTCGTTATGTTCTCTATTGTTTGTTTGCGTTTCTTAAATCATTGTTTAATTATTGTGTTGATTAGCCGCTTCGATTTATTACTTAAATACTATTAAGATTCCCATAGTATATTTCGATCAAACTCGACGAAGGTCTGAGTCTGAATTCCAAAGAAACCGTATAGGAGAGACGAGGTTACATTTTGTACACTAACTACAAAACGTACCGGCACACTGTATACATTCAGTGCTTTTTAGTATAGGTTTGCATTTTCAAATTCAAACAAAATTTAATACAACACAGAATAGTTTAGTGTACAAGAGATCAAAACGAAAAAAAGTAGGAAATATAATTCAACCTTGATTAAACATCAGCTCTTTTGATATTTCACTGCCTTTAAAAAAACTGCTATAGATTTTTTAATGGACGGACGGTATTTTGACATCATTTGATCTTTTGTATGGTATATCATGGAGCCCCCCTTTGACCTCATTATTAAGCTTCCCCCTCACATTACGTTTATGGATTAAGTGTATTAGAGGGCTATCCTACACATTATATACGTTTAATCGTAAATGGTCTTACATAAAGGTGACACAGTGTGCATAGCTCTGCAAACCACTGCCTTTCATCGACGTATATTATCATTAGAGGCACCATAAGGAGTTCTGAAACGAACGTTATATTAATCATGGGGATTTGTTTCTGGAATTTGTAATATTATAACAGTTGCGAACTAAGTGCGGGAAATCCTTACCCTGAACATCACCTGGTTAACCTTTATTTTTCATTTGAGGCCGATTTTGCCTTTCCCTAACGACGTCGGCTTCAGACATGGTCCTTCTTAATACAAACATTATTTGAAGACGTAAACATTGTATCTTTTCTGTGCTCGCTTTTTCACCTTACAATGACCATAATCTACCACTATCATGCTGCTCAATTAGAATCGGCATGTTAGGAAGTAATTAATGGGCGTCCTTCCAGCTTACGACAGAACAGACTTTGACTATCTCGGCAAACAGGATTTAATTTTGCTTAATGAAGAATACATAACCGGACTTATAATTAATGCAACTAGAACAAAATACACGCGGACATTTGACGAAACTTAACAAGGCAATCAGACCAGGTGTTCCAAAATGGTGATCTGCTTCATTGACGACAGACACCATGCAATTGCAGGTAAATTCCAAATAATATCATGTCCTCAAATTTAGAACCGAGATAGCGACAATGCCACCACTAGTCACGCAAATGACCTTAATCAAAAGTATCGACCCTCAAATCTCGCAAAGTATATAATTTTTCCCAATGTGATTGTAAGCGCAAACCGTAGTTTTTATCAACCTGCGTCTCGGGAAATCGTGTGTTGTAAAATTGTCTATCAGGATACATTATCTTTCACAGTCATCATGCCTTATGAATGGGTTAAAGATGAATACTAAGACACTGAGATAGATGTAGGAGTGCTTTCCCGAATACAAGAAAGAATATCCCCTCCCGGTCCTCTGTGACAGTAATATGCTGTTCTTTTTAAAGAGATTCTTTGATGTATTTTGAATGTTATAATTAACAAGTTTTTATCTGATAATCTTGTGATCACTTTCTCATCTTCTAAGTAAGGTCATACGAAGGTCAAACACGTTATATAAGGTAAACGATTTAAATTTCCGATACTGTTGACTATATAAGTTATATCACAATTTGATTGATCTCGTATATGGAAGGATATTAATCCGAAGGTTGTTTTTGTAATACATCTTTAGTCGTGAAGTATCTTTCTATTGATCAGTTAAAGTTAATTAGTACTTAAGTAGTCGCATATGTTGACCTAATACTCAAAAGTTGGTAAACTGATAATGTTTTATAGTGTTGTGTTTATTCAAAACTAGTTGCACGATTGTTATTGAAAGGTTGTATTAATGCGTTTGTTATATGATATATATTTTCATAGTAAGAATGTTAAATTATCTGATATATTTTTTTATGTGATCCAAGAAAATTTATTTAACGTCGCATACAGGTAAATAAGGAACATTAGCTCGTGCGAAATTGTTTACCTGTATGGTGACTGTTTACATGTTGGATGGGTTTTGATAGCTTAATTTTATAAATTCTATTTGGAAGGATTTGTACAACGATGTGGATATTTTACATGTAAATGTATGTCCATGTTCTGCCTTTTTACTACCGATGAAAGGGAGGGAAAATTACTTCATTGTCAAACACATTGGAGCTCGAAAGATAGCAACAGGAACCGAGGAAACAATTAAACAAAAGAAATACGTCACTGAAGGTGACTTGGTGTTCAGGTAGGGTCAGCGCTTATGAGAAGCACGCGTCGACTGGGTCAGGTTTGGTTTACCCCATCGTTACTTTAGCGCTTGTATTAATCGTTGGTAAACACATATTCCCTTAAGTTTTCATTATATAATATCTTTCGTATATATTATTCTTCTCTTTTTATTCCCGGATATCGCTTTTCATTATAGAATTCATGAAACGACGAGATCAAATATTTACTGATGACAGTACGACAGATAAGTGTAGTGCTCTTACATGCGGTTAGCAGACAAACGATCAAGGATAAACGTCCTTCAAAATAAGTTCAGTTCGGTCAAAAAGATAGGAAAAAAATATATTTTACAATGCACACGTTAAAACCTGTCAATTACTATATTATCAAAGTTATTCATTACAGGATATATGAGTAATTGAAATAGTCTAATACGGCCATAAACTTACTTCTTTTCTGTTTCATATAATAGGTGTGATAATTTAAAGGCATATTGTAATCAAAGGGTTATCACTCCACGCCTGCGTCACCATGTACATTTCTTTGATAGACAGCCGTTATCTATTTAATATGAATCTTCCTCTAGTTTAACGACGGTCACCAATTATGTAAAACGATTACTGAGTATACGCGACTGTTTTCAAGTAGACGTATCAATTATCCTTCTACGTAGTTAACCATTAGACGGATCTCCGACTGATCTTTTCAGTTGAAACAAGATATTTGTATGATATACCTATGTATGGGGTAGATAAGTTCCCTGCGTTCATAGTTATATGAGTGCTGTACATTGCGGTCAGAAAATGGTATCCATAAAATCAATTTTAACACATGGGTTTGAGAATAAGATAATGCACTGTTAATTGTAATATTATATGTATATGATACATGTACAATTTATGAAAACATCGATTTAAACCAAAAATAAGAATTCCACGGGAGTGGATGTGTCGCCTGCTCAGCGCTTTTGGTAAGAAAAGTGTTTTGGCTTGAGTTATCGCGTGAACAGATATGCCAATACGTGGAAAGTTGAAACTCGACAGAAAAACCCGTGATATAGGTTGAACATTATTGCTTCTAGCATTACCGTAAAAACTTTGAAAGGAATTAATTAAAAAAAAAAAAAAAAAAAAAAAATTTTTTTTTTGGCAAAAAAAGGGGCATGACTCCNAAAAGGGGCATGACTCCACCAACGTACGTATCCGAGCTATATTGGTATGCAAGATGTGAACCGAGTTTGAGCTCAATCAACCCAGGGGAACTATAGTTATTGCAAGAAAACCTTGTTTCGGACGACGCAACCGACGACGACGCCGACAAAAAATAGATGTCGCTTCGCGTTGCAGGCGACACAATTCTCGTATTCTTTTACTCGTCCATACTTACCAGACGAACCCCGTGTTATAACCCCAACAACACTGTCTTAATACCCAACACTGTGTCATCAACCAATCCACATTGTGTTATCAACTAACTCACACCGTTTCATCAAATCCACTCGCATTGTGTTACGACCCTACTCACCCTGTGTTATGACCCAACCCACACTGTGTTATCACCCAAATCACACTGTGTTAATACTTCAACCACACTGTGTTATTAACCACTCACACTGTGTTATCACCCCACTCACCCTGTCTTATCACCTTAACCACACTGTGTTAAAACCCAACTCACCCTGTGTTATCACATCAACCACTCTGTGTTATCACCCCAACCACACTGTGTTATCACCCCACTCACCCTGTGTTGTCATCCCACTCACCATGTGGTAATACTTCAACCACACTTTGTTATCACCCCAACCATACTGTGTTATCACCTCAACAACACTGTGTTATAACCCCTTACACTGTGTTATCACATCAACCACACTGTGTTATAACCCCACTTACCCTATGTTATCACCTTTACCACACTGTGCTATCACCCAACTCACACTGTGTTAATACTTCAACCACACTGTGTTATTACCTCGTCACACTGTGTTATCACCCAACCACATTGTGTTATCACCCCACTCACCCTGTCTTTTCACCACAACCACACTGTGTTATGACCCCAACCACACTGTGTTATCACCCAACTCACACTGTGTTAATACTTCAACCACACTGTGTTATCACCCAACCACATTGTGTTATCACCCCACTCACCCTGTCTTATCACCTCAACCACAATATGTTAAAACCCAACTCACCCTGTGTTGTCACCCCACTCACCATGTGTTAATACTTCAACCACACTGTGTTATCACATCAACCACACGGTGTTATAACCCCTCACACTGTGTTATAACCCCACTCAACCTGTGTTATCAACCCACTTACCCTATGTTATCACCTATACCACACTGTGCTATCACCCCACTCACCCTGTCGTATCACCTCAACTATGCTGTGTTATCATCCCATTCACACTGTGTTACCACCCCAACCACACTGTGTTATCACCCAAACAACCCTATGTTATCATCCAACCAACACTGTGTTATCAAACCCTTTCACACTGTATTATCACCCCACTCACACTGTGTTACCACCACACCCACACTGTGTTATCATCCAACCCACACTGTGTTATCATCCAACCAGATCTCTGTTATAGTCCCACTCGCACTGCATTATCACTCAACCAACTCTGTGTTATCACTCCACCAACTCTGTGTTATCACTCCACCAACTCTGTGTTATCACCTCCACTCACACTGTGTTATCACTCCACCAACTCTGTGTTATCACCTCCACTCACACTGTTTTATCACTCCACCAACTCTGTGGTATCACCCCACTCGCACTGCATTATCACTCCACCAACTCTGTGTTATTACTCCACAAACTCTGTGTTATCACCTCCACTAGCACTGCATTATCACTCCACCAACTCTGTGTTATCACTCCACCAACACTGTGGTATCACCTCCACTCACACTGTTTTATCACTGCATTATCACTCCACCAACTCTGTGTTATTACTCCACCAACTCTGTGTTATCACTCAACCAACACTGTGGTATCACCTCCACTCACACTGTTTTATCACTGCATTATCACTCCACCAACTCTGTGTTATTACTCCACCAACTCTGTGTTATCACTCCACCAACTCTGTGTTATCACCTCCACTCGCACTGTGTTATCACTCCACCAACTCTGTGTTATCACACCACCAATTCTGTGTTATCACCTCCACTCACACTGTGCTACCTGTGTTAAAAGTGGAATAGGTGATAAAGGTGGAATAGGTGATAAAGGTGGAATAGGTGATGAAGGTGGTGATAAAGGTGGAATAGGTGATAAGGGTGGAATAGGTGTTAAAGGTGGAATAGGTGATAAAGGTGGTGATAAAGGTGGAATAGGTGATAAAGGTGGAATAGGTGATAAAGGTGGAATAGGTGATAAATGTGGAATAGGTGATAAAGGTGGAATAGGTGATAAAGGTGGAATAGGTGATAAAGGTCGAATAGGTGATCAATGTGGAATAGGTGATAAAGGTGGAATAGGTGATAAATGTGGAATAGGTGATAAAGGTGAAATAGGTAATAAAGGTGGAATAGGTGATAAAGGTGGAATAGGTAATAAAGGTGGAATAGGTGATAAGGGTGGAATAGGTGATAAATGTGCAATAGGTGATAAATGTGGAATAGGAGATAAATGGGGAATAGGTGATAAATGTGGAATAGCTGATAAAGGTGAAATAGGTAATAAAGGTGGAATAGGTGATAAAGGTGGAATAGGTGATAAAGGTGGTGATAAATGTGGTGATAAAGGTGGAATATATGATAAAGGTGGAATAGGTGATAAATGTGGAATAGGTGATAAATGTGGAATAGGTGATAAAGGTGGAATAGGTGATAAAGGTGGTGATAAAGGTGGACAAGGGGATAAAGGTGGGATAGGTGATAAAGGTGGAATAGGCATACATACATTGTATGGTGGGATTGATTGAGTAGACAGGCGGACATTGTATGGTGGGATAGGTTGAATAGACAGACAGACAGCGTTGGTTGGAATCAGTGGAATAATCAGACGGAGAGAATATGGTTTGATCGGTGTAATAGACAGACAGACAGTGTATGGTGGGATCAGTGGAATTGACAGACGGACATTGTTTAGTGGAATCGGTCGAGGAGACAGATTGACAAATCGGTTATACATCATCTTTAAATATCGTATTAGGTACACTTTTAGTAACGCATGTTATACACCGCTACATATACATGTACTGGGTGTGTAGGACCCCTGATTACAAGGGACATACGTGTGTGTGGTGGGGGGGGGGAGGGAGGTTGTATTTCAATTAATTATAATGCTTTACGGTGACGTATTTGTTTCTGTGTTACTTACTTTTACGATCAGATGTATGAATTGCACCTTTAACAAATAAATAACATTTTTAGCATTGATTCCTAAAACAACGTTAATTCCCAATAAAAGGATGTTTGATCATCTATATTTGGAAATATACCAAGTTAAATTGTGAACATAATACTCAGACAGTGTGAAACCAGTTTTACTGACATGCAATTGTGTCAAGTTTTTTCCCTTTAACACACACACGAGAACACAAGCAACTGAAGAAAATTATTTAAATATTGTATACTTGTAACCCTATCCGTGTCGAGTACTGAAGGGGAAACAACTCGTAGTATACAGCCACCCGTTTTACACCCGTATTGGATAAAGGAGGATAACTCAAGGTAGTGGCAGATAAAGGTATAAAAACATACCAAATGAAGTTTTAATTAAACTTTAAACTCAGGTGTAAATCTTTTCAGAATGAAACGATTTGTCTAGTTATATGGCGAAAGATTATCTCTTGGCTACACCTGCCATTTAAATATTTGGTATTAGTTCTCACTCTGATTACAAATATAGAACACTAGACTGCTATAATAGTTGGAGTTAAACTATCCCTAAATGATCTTATAGAAGAGGATAATGTCGCTGTTAAATTGATTTACATGTTCAATAACCTTTTTTTTAGAAAACCCTGTAGAAACAGCTTGCTGATGGTTACGTTGCCATCAGAAAAGGTGGAATAAATGTTGAAATATCCACTGTGAGTAAGCTACGTATTTTAATGTTTCAGATCTGATTCCTTGCATGCATCGCAAAGTTACATTTTGGCTGCAAGGTCCTCTATAAACGTTACCATAAGGAAATTGATCAGCGTCATTTCGGAGCTTCTACTCACGCCTCGGATAACGAGAGACAATCGTAAATATCAAACATTTTAGAGACGTTAGACAAACATTTTGAAGATGTTAAGCTCTTTTCCAGGAATCTCGTATACACTGACGACAGAAACACTTCGAAAACAAAAATGATTACCTATATTAAGATTAATAATACCAATAAAATTTTAAATGTACATGTAAATTTAAGGATTGAATGTCATTTTGCAATGTGCAAAGCGATTTGAACACAAATCGGTTACAGAGACATTTACCTTTCGGGCTTCGTGGAATATGTATGCAACCGATTTGCTTTCATACCGGCATGACTATTGAAAACATGTCATTCAATCCTTATATTAAACACATTTCTGGACTTTAAAGTTTCCATCAACACATTTTAAAGCAGTTTATTTTGCAACACTTTTACCTACGAAGTAAATAGATTGTTAACTAGTATCCAGAGTACTTCTTCAATGGGATTGAATTGAAGAAGGTATCCGAAGGATGATACTTCTTCAGAGGAGCTTAACAGAAAATATCATATGTATGAACATGTATCGGTTGCGAATCCCTTTATTTAAATAACGAGTATATTTGTTTGATATTAAGAAAAACGTTCTTTTTTATTATATATTTATTTGCACTTAGCTGTACTTAGACAATTGTTTTCTATGTAAATTCATAATCTTTACTGTCTGTCTGGACATCGTTTAATCATACTTATGACAATTCTGCTTGTTCGTTTAGAGAATATCTCATGAATTAAAATGCATTTAAAACTGCAATATCCCAGCATGAAGGATGTTAGATATAAACCGTACCTCCCGCGCGAACACTCCGTGTCACAAAGGTTCAGAAACATGAAAAAGTCAGACCTGATATGAAACTTTAGTACATTAATCTAAACCATAAAATCATTGTGAAAAAAACAGGTTTTGATGCTGTGTCTTTGTGAGTTTCTCTATGCTCATCAAATTACCATGACAGTAGTTTGTGAGTGGTGCTGGGGAGAAGATGAGAGAACCATGGGCTGGAGCAGTTGGCGTGTATGTACACTGTGGTGAGTACGGCACTGATTCGTCCATCAACCGGCTACCTGATACAGACCAAGTCCCGTTAATACTCTCAAATGAAACATGTAATTAGTTTGGCTGCTTTACATCTTAGTACATCAGTGAACAGTTGGAATGTCTCTGACAAATAGATTCTAAGTAATTGCATGGTTTCAATTTTTTCTCGTTTTTGATTTAATGTACATTTCCAGGTTTTGTTTTTGTGACTTGTACAGAAATGCACTTACTAAAGCGATGCATCGTAAACAAACAACATTAATCAAGTATTTTCAATTTCATTTTAATGTTTTTACTATATTCGTATTGGACAACGTGGTATAGTCAACCATTGTCGTATTTAATATTCGTAATAAGATTCATCAGTTTTGTACAAATAATAGTGTGAGGCTTAATTAGTGAGCTGTTTTCAACGGTTTAGCCTCGAGACACCAGTTCACTCTTTGCTCGGCAAAGGTAACATACATTTTCGAAAGCTCGCAAAATCCGTTTTCGTGTACTGTTTGTGTTAAAAACAAACTTAGCCTTCATTATTGTATTTAACTACCTACGTATTTGTTATTTCAGTATTGAGCAAGGAAGACAATAGTGGGAACTTTAATACGAATGTTACGAATTTTGATAAATATAAAGGTTGCATTTCTTTTGGATGCAAGAGTGGTTCATTTGATACGTGATACTATATATTAAAGATTGGTTCTGCAACACTAACAACTATAGTTTATCAATAGTATTTGTAAGATTAGCCAATATTTAATCTTGTTCTACGGTATTGTGATAACGTACTGTATAGCAATACTGAGCTATCGTAAATCTATCTCTGTTGAAGGAAAGGCAATGGTACTAAAATCGTGTTAAAAGAAATGAAACAATGAAAAATTATTGAGAGAAAAAAAATGTTGAGAGCGATCGATGATATCTCTTGTTGGTGACGTGAGAAGTCAAATAGTAATACAAGGTTTTTTTTCAAGTTTTATTTTTTACACTCACGCCACATGTATACGTGCGTAACAAGAGGTCACATAATACATAGTATACATTGATGGACATAGTACACACATAATATGACAAATGATACAATTTATACAATAACAACCAATTTCAATCATTCTTTTAGCTTACTTACTCTTTGTATAAATTTACTTACATTTGTTAAGAGTACCGTGTTACAAATTGAGAACTTACCTTTTATTTTGATATAAGTCGGGTTGACATAATAATAAGTTGGTATATAAAGTTGTCTAAGAGCTACAACAGATACATTAGTACATTGGTATAAGTAGTGGTATTCGTCCCCAACACAGTTATTACATAGGGGACATAACCTTTCCTCGCGTGGGACTCTATTCCATCTTCCTGTCTCTATAGGAAATTTTACATTTGATGTTCTAAATTTACATATTACTTTTCGTTCATTACGATTTAGTTTTAAAAGATATGGTTCAATATTAAACTGAAATTTGAATAAGGAGTAAACTTATCCTCGCGAGGAGGTTTCAACATCATGAAACCAACTTTGAATGAATTGATCGCATAATCTCTGCTTAATGATATTTTTCAAGCATTGTCTATTAATTGTACATGATATTTGGAAAGTCCATAAAATATCAAGTCTAGTATTGTTTAAGATATCTCGTATATACGTTAACCATTTAAAACTTAATAAAGAAATCTGGTGCAAACTGTACATTAACTTATACATTGCACTAGATAATTTCGATCCACCTGTTATAAGCTTATGCCAGAACATAATCATTCTAACACTGATTTCAATTTCTAGGGGATACCTTCCTAACTCACCATATACCATATACTTTGGGGTGCTCTTCCGAATGTTTAGAATTTCCTTACAAAACTGTAAATGTATTTTTTCGATACTTTTTGTATTTTCATAGCCCAAGATTTCACATCCATATAATAAAATAGGTGACACAAGTGCATCAAATAGTTTCAGTTGAAGATCTACAGGAATGGAAATATTTATAATCTTAATATACAATGCATATAAAGCTTTTTCTGCTTGCTCTAGTAGTTTACTTTTGGCTTTTGTAAAAACACCATTGTAGTTTAATATTATTCCAAGATATGTGTACGAATCTTGTATTTCTAAAATCTCATTATTTAACGTAAAGTGATGGTCTCTTTTACTTTTTCTTTTTTCAAAAATCAAAACTTTAGTTTTTTGGGTATTAACTGTTAATTTCCATATATTATAATAATTTTGGAATTCATTCAATGCGTTCTGTAGGCCATCTGGTGTTTCTGACAAAAGCACTGTATCATCAGCATATAAAATAATAAACAATTTTAAGTACAAACCTAAATTTTGATGACTAAGAGCATACACTTCATTCAAACAAGAAACATTACGTTGATTGAGGAAATCCTCTAGATCGTTAAGAAAGAGGGAAAACAAAAATGGCGATAAGTTTTCTCCTTGTTTTACCCCGACATTGCACATGAAAAAGTCGGATGTATATTACCATTAATTACGTATGATTTGATATTTTGATATAAATTATAAAGGACTTTAAATATTTTGCCCGTAATGTTACTATTTTGTAATTTTCTCCACAAGCCTGCTCGCCACACCGTATCAAAGGCCTTTTTAAAATTTTAAAATAAAAATACCACAGCCGTCAAAACCAAGACGCAAATTATAACTCAGATCGAATGCAAAAGTGTTAACACATACAACT